TAAACTCTTTTATATAGTCATTCAGATTCTTAAATATCTCATTTATTTTTCAACTCAACAAATATTTACAGAATAAAGATGAAGACTATGAACTCTGTGTCTAAACTCTTTTCTATACTTGGTGATTGACTGGATGCGTGTGTGTGTGTGTGTGTGTGTGTGTGAGAGAGAGAGAGAGAGAGAGAGAGAGAGAAAGAGAGACAGAGAGACAGAGAGACAGAGAGACAGAGAGACAGAGAGACAGAGAGACAGAGAGACAGAGAGACAGAGACAGAGACACAGAGACAGAGAGACAGACAGAGAGAGAGAGAAAAGTAGAATGAGAAGTAAAGAAGTTTGAGAATCAGAGACAACGCTCAAATTTCTTAGACAACTTAATGGGATGGGATGCCTCTCACTAAGCTCAGGTACAAACAGGGAGGAACAGGTTTGTAGGTGGGTGAAAATGAAGAGTTTAGTTAGAGTTTGAGTTGCTTGTGGGATGTCCAAGCGAAGCTATCCATTGGCAGTTGGATACATGCATCTGGAAGTCCTGATTATGAAATACATTTCAGGAATTATTACACACAAACATATAAAATGTAGCAATGCGTCTTGACTAGGCCAAGATTGTGAATATTTTTCCAATAGGAGTCTGTGTGCACAAGTAAGTCCATTCCATGTTCTAGGTGATGAAATTGTGAGGCACACAATTGGGAACAGGAACTTCCTTCCCACTTCTCAACAATGCCAGGCTGTTTGGTAGTTGTTCAAGAACTCCATGGCTTTGGAAATCCTGGAAGGCAGAAGCCTTGGCAGGGACATTCTCCTTTTAGAGATGGGTACTGTTAGAGCAGTTAACAGTGAGCCCATCTCAAACTGCTTCATCAGTAGAAGCTTTGACCAGGATAAGGCAAGGCTGGAAGGGACATTGAGTATATATGCTGATAATTCCAGATAAGCTGGTTCATGAGAATATGGGAGGTTGTTCTGAAGGAATCCTTGGAAGCCACAACAATAACGATGAGGTCTTGAGAGAAAGTCAAATTGTATGTGGAAAGAACTTCTCAAGAACAAAACTTTGGTAAAATCTGACTTCAGGGGTTCTGAAGGGTACTAAGAGACAGAAAAAGAGAGACAAAAAGCAGGGACCCAGACTAGGGTGGTGATGTAAGACAGAATTTGCAGACTAATCACCCATGGTGGTAACATCTTAAAGTGGCTAAAAAGCATGAGAAGAAGAAGCAAGTGAAAATGGTCACTGTATCCACCAGGGCCTCTGGTAGTGGGACCATTCATGTCATTTTTCTGAATTTTTTAAGTTTTTCCTAAAACTCATAGTGTGCATTGCAAAATCATGTTCTGGAGTCAATTCCAACTGTGCATCTGCTGACTGTAGTCAGCATTCTGAAGGGCTGTCTGCCTTTCAACAATGCAACAGTATTTGTCAAACACCTACATGTGCCTTCCTTTGATTTCCAGTCCCTTCTTCACTTAGAGGCCACTCTGCTTTCTCCCCAAGACCTTTCTCCTCTTGTTAGGCAGCCTTCCAAGTTCTGAACGAGTATTTTCCAATCACTTTCCCCTCATTAAAACCTACCTATCTTGTGCCATGAAGGCTTTTAAACCAACATTGATTCAGCATCTAAGGTGAATAGATTTGAAGGAAAATGTCTAGAGTCTGTCCCTAAGTAGGAAGTCACGATAGTGAGTGACAGGGACATGTTCTCAGGTAAGCATTCACCAGGCAGAGTAAATGTGCTCCAAAAGTAGGAAAACAGAGAAGAAGGTGGGTTTAATGCCAAGGACAAACTATTTATTCTGCTAAAAGGCAGTGTGATAAAATTGTTTGAGTTGTTAAACTATTTCATGGCTGAAAAGGCCAAGGTGAGGATGATATTTACATTTAACTAGTCTTTTCAGCTTTAATCTAAGGTACTAGATAAACTCATAATTAGGACATTATACTGAAGGGACATTTTGGTTAAAGGCAACTTGGCCAGAATTCCTTTAATCAAAGTAGGTGCCTATGGAGTTGCTATTGTTGTTGTTTCATATATAAGGATAGTCTTTTCTGCTTATTTGTGAGTCCATGTTACTCGTAATTTTCTTTGCCATTTCTGCTTTTTGCTTTGTGATTATGAGCTTAGTGTAGATATTTAAAGCATATATGTTGCAATCACCTGAATTTGCCCAAATTTCTCATCAATTGTTCTTTTTATTGATTGTTATTGTCTGTACTCTGTTCTTGGTCTTTGTAAGGCCAAGATGCCTTAATGTACCCCTCAGCTTGATTAAACTTTAGTTGGCTTCTTCCTGGCTCTAGCCTCTGACCTCCCTTTTCTTAGAGTATTTACTTTAGAAATCTTTACATTGCAAATTCTTTGTCTGCCCAATTGAGATATAAATCTCCCGGCTACTTGCCAGTTTTACAATGCAAGAATATCTTTCTCAAGGACCTGGGAGCCATTCCTTTGAGATATAATAATAGAAGGAGATCTTCCAGTCTCTGTGGGGGCATAGAAACCTAACTTTCTAATTGTGACAATTAGCAAACACAACTGACCAGCTTCCCACGAACATCCTCAATACTTTTACACTAGCTCACCCTAGTGCTTAAAAACCCTTCTGCCTTTTGTTCCAGTGGAGTTGAATTCAATCTCTCTTCCCTCTTGCAATAGTCTTGAATAAAGTCTTCCTTGCCCTCTTAACTCTTTCATACCTAATTTTTCTCTGACACTTGTCATTTCCAAAATAAAAAATCTTTTTGGCACTTTCTTTTGCTGTTAAAAAAATTATTTCTAGATAATACTTAGCTGACCAGATTTACAAGTTCCTCCTTCTTTTTTTAGCTCCTTGTCTAGATATCATAGATTCCTAGAAGTTACTTTACAAGTCTCCATATCAGTATTCTGTGGTAGTAATTTCCTTGTCTTTCTTTGGTGTCCTGTGGCTGATAGACCTGGGGAATAATCCATAAATTTTTCAACTATTTATTATGATCTCAATGAGATTACTTTTCTTCTTTTGTGTGACAGTCTATCTACCAAAATCAATTCTTCGCTTTGAAATTAGTCAACTGTTTTATGTGGCAGAATCTCACTTACTGTGGACATGTTCTACTTAGTGTTGATCTAAACATGATGCTCACTAATGAATTGTTAAGGTCAGATGTGTTTTTGACCAATATCTGAGTCTATTATTTAGCATACCCAAGGAAGAAAGATATATATTTGTGTGGCTTGTTTCACTATTCTGATCACTAATCAAGAGAACTCGTAAAATGATTTAATAAAGCACATGATAACCCTGAGAAGTTTCTATAAAAGATAAAGTCACAATCTGGGACATTAATGCACAATTTTCCTAAGTCTCTCTTGCTTGAAACATGTAAAGCTTTTCTCTTTCTATGGCTATAAAATTTATGTTGATCTTTGAGTTGTACAGCTTTAATTCAAAAGACATGTATGACATATGTATGTGTCTGTGCCAGGCACTTCACCAGGCACAGAATGAATTGAGATAATGTACTTAAACTCAGATAAGTATTTAAAAAATCGTTAAAGAAGCACACTTTTATAATTCTTACAGTGTGTTTGCTGATACAATCTAACATAACAATGACAAATTCAAAGATTTCCCCCAAGTCTGTTTTTTTATATTATATATTAACATATTTTTTTCTTTTTCTGTCAAAACTGGCTCATGATGTACATGACTTTTGCCTTTTCAGTCTAAGAATCTATGATATGGGAGGATACCTGTGCTGTTTTAGATTTTGTTCAGATGGCCAGGGAATAACCAGGTTCCTTGCTCTGTTAGAGTTGTATCAACAAGGTCATAATTCCAGGTGACCAGCCATGCCAGAAGTGAACATACAGTACCAAACATGGCCTAGGAAATTGGAAGGTCATGGCTGAAACACTCACAGGAACTCTAGACATGCTTCTAAAAGGAGAAAAAGCAAGGTGCATGATTGAGATTCTCCACATCAATTTTAATTTTCTTTTCTCTTTGTTAGTTTTAACACTGTTGTGGTGCCACCAGATTATTGGGAAATGATAAAGGTAAATATAAATCTTATTATCTAAGACTTTCCTTTATCTCCTCTGACCCTCATTGTTGCCAATCCCAATCTTCAGCAGAAACCTAATTTCATCTACTGCTCTCTCAGGGAAAAAGGCTTACAACTCACTTCTGCTCATCCTCATTCTTTATGCAGGGAAGGAGAGAATTGTACTTTTTTCTTTATAACATTTAATTTAGATTTATGTTCCCCTCCAATGTCAAGTTCTTCCTCCTTATGAAAAAGAAACATGGTCTATAAGGGAGACACTACCAACCAATGACTTATATGGCAACTATGCATTTACATAAACCGGTAGCCTTTATTTAATGGGTTCTCCCTTGGAGTCAGTAAATATAGTCTTGGTTTGGTTTCCCTTGTACAGTAGGTCATTCCTAAGCTCTTAACTTCTGTTTTCCTTTTCATTTTTTAGAAATTGGTTTGTAGGACAGATTCTCCCCACTGCATGAAGTGCAAATGACAGCTTATAGTTTGTTCTGGTAATCATGCCTGATTCTTGTTTCCCATATGAACATAAGATATCATTTTGTACATAAGACATTCAGCGATTCATTTCACAAATGTTATCTAGTGCCTATAATATGCTCAACACTGAGATAGTGCAGAGAGATGTACACAGACTTTAAAGTTTAGTGTGCTCTATTAGTGCCAACACTAAACAGAGTTTATCAACTGTTCATGTGTGTATGTATACATGTGTGTCCATGACGCTTTTTCTTTCATATAAAATGCACAGTGTAGTAATGGATTATGATGATTCACTAACTAACTTTTACCTAATAGGAGGGAAAAATACCCAAATGTACATTTTATGCAAGAAATTTAGGATTTTAAGGAAAAGTACACATGTCATAGAGATTAAGCGGTTATTTCTAGCCCTTCCATGAGTATTCATTGTTAACTGTAAAGTCTTCCTTAAAAGTTCCATACTTACTCATCTCTGCAAACAGCTGTCTTCTTTCTGCCATGGTATTTCCTCTTTTCCCACTATCTTCAATCATTCTACAAGACAAAATGGTTACAATGTGTATTATCCTCATGCTAATGAGGCAAACAGCCATTTCTATGTAAACACAATTGCTGTAGTTATGCCACAAACACAGAGACTAACAATTTAAAACTGTGTATTTCAAAAGGATAGTTTTACTTTCATTAACTTAAATTGCTGTACATATTTTTCCACATACAATGAATGTTGCTGTTGTTAGAGGGGTTATACAATTTTTATTTTCTAACGAACAATAACTACAATGGTAGATGCCTTGTGCTATAACTTAATACAACCCTGAATACAATCGTCTACAATTGGTTAGGAGATTCATTTCACATATAGCCCCTCTTTCAATTTTGGGAATACCTATGAATAATATAGCAGATATTATGGATTCCATTCAACAAATGATGAGATTGATGAGTCACATTAACCTAGTGAAGTGAATGGCATAGATGTTTGGACTCTAAGACCAGTATGCCTTCCACCACGTTCTGCTGCAAGTTGTTCCTTGTATACCCCCAAATCTCAATTTAGAAAGAGGTGATTTTCCCTATGAACCACAAAACTAGACCTGTTTAGCATGGATTAAGGACCTGAATATAAGACCTGAAACAATAAAATGCATAGAAAAAAACATAGGAGCTAAACTCAAGGACCTTGGACTTAATTAAAGAGGATTTTATGAATTTGACCTCAAAGGAAAGGGAAGTAAAAACAAAAATAAATGAATGGGACTACATCTAACTAAAAAGCTTTTGCATAGCAAAAGACATTGTCAATAAGATAAAGAGACAACCATATGAATGGGAAAATATATTTGCAAGCAACACCGCCGATAAGGGCTTAATATCCAAAATGCACAAAGAAATCAGATGACTCGATAACAACAAAAAAACAAACGATCCAATCAAAAAACGGGCAGAGGACCTGAACAGACACTTCTCCCTAGAGGACATACAAATGGCTAATAAGTATAAGATGCTCAATATCACTAGCTATTCAGGAAATGCAAATCAAAACCACAATGAGATACCATCTCACACCTGTTAGAATAGCTATAATCAACAAGACAAGTAATAACAAATGTTGGAGAGGATGCGGAGAAAAAGGAACCCCCATACACTGCTGGTGGGACTGCAAATTGGTACAGCCACTATGGAAAACAGTATGGAAGTTCCTCAAAAAACTAAGAATTGATCTACCATATGATCCAGCAATCCCTCTACTGGGTATTTACCCCAAAGACCTGAAAACACATGTCAGAAAAGATATTTGCACACCGATGTTCATAGCTGCATTATTCAGTAGCCAGGACATGGAAGCAACCGAAATGTCCTACGATAGATGACTGGCTAAAGCAGCTATGGTACATATATACAACGGAATATTACTCAGTTATAAGAAGAGATGAAATACTGCCATTTGCAACAACAGGGATGGACCTCGAGATAATCATGCTAAGTGAAATAAGCCAGACAGAAACAGTTGAAAATCACATGATATCACTTATATGTGGTATATAAACCCAAAAGCAACAAGTGAACAGGACAAACAAACAGAGACTCATGGACATGTACAATAGACTAGTGGTTACCAGAAGGTAGGGGGAAGTGGGGAAGAGGGAAGTGTATGGGATAAGGGGGTCAAATATGTGGCGACAGAAAGGAATATAACTATGGGAGTTGAACATACAGTGTAAATATATATATGCCTTACTGTTAAAGTGTACAGCTGAAATTTACTGGCTTTCGTTAACCAATGCCACCATAAAAAAATGTGTGTGTGTGTGTATATATATATCTCCAGAAAAAAAAGCAGGTGATTTTCTAAATGTTAATCTCTAAGTTGAGTGTGTGAAACCTGCAATAGTTTTTTTATACATAATTTCATGCAAGGTGGTTAGGTTCACATGTCTCTACTTAAATAAACATACTGTTGTCCACAGTGGATCTATTTTAAAAACTACCAAGAATTAGAACAGATAATGTAAAAAGATACAAAAAATTAAAATTTAACTTGAGGAAAGAGAAAATAATAAGCAAGTTAATGGAAATGTTGTTTAGTCAGATCAAGGATTTTGGGCTAAATATGAAGAGTTTTATAGGTTAATGGGAGTTGATTTTTTATTATATCTAATTAAACTTTTAAAAAATAAAGTTCCCCCTCTCTCTCTCTCTCTCTCTCTCTCACACACACACACACACACGCGCACGTATGTACACCACTATGTTTTGATTCTTAGGCATGGTAAATATAAGGCATAGGTGACCTTTTTACCTGCTCTTTCTCAAATATGGGTCTTTGTCCATGCTATTTATTTTGGTCTGGATTGCCCTCTCCTTAGGCCTAGCTAACTTGCAATTACCTTTCAGATATCAATTTAGGTGTATCTTCCTCTGAAATCCCCCCTAACTCTCTATGATTGCCTCGTTTGGTGCCTTTCCTCTGAGCCTCCATAGCCTGCCACGCCTTTCTTTTAATGCTGAACTTAATAAACCTTTATTGAGTATCTTTTATACTCCAAACAACAAGTTCTGGGTATAAACTGTGATCAAGTCACAGCTCTTGCCCTCAAGGTGCTTACACTGTAGTGGGGGAGATACAAAAGCATAAGAGCAATGAAAGCACAATGAGGTAATTACAGCTGTAGAACTGGAAAGAAAGGTATGTGACAGTGAGAGGCTGATTACCTGAGGTAAATTTAATAGTACTACTTACAGGAGACTGCTCAAAAGGTAATAATGATGTGTATAAAGTGACTCACTTGAGGGTAAAAGAAAAAAATGATGGTGAAATCATTGTGATATCAGTTTAACTTTTCAAACAGCCTCACAAATTGCTTTTATTCAAGGATTATTTGCCTATTGCCAGGAAGGAAAAGAATGGCATGGATCAGCCTGGGTTTACAGAGTCAAGGAAAGTATGTACCCATTTGCAATGTGTAATAATATAACCAGGGTCAGGTTAAATATTAATTGGAAAGGGTCGTTAATAATTGGAAAGAGTTATTAATGAAGCTTTGATAACAATTCACCACTGAAAACGATTGAATCTTTTTTATAAGATTTTAAATATGTAGGTATGGTCGATATACAGAGATCTGAAGAAAAACACACCCTTCCTGATTCACTTAACCCCATCTCCTTACAGAGGAAGTGGGGACATAAGAATCTGACATTCAAAAATAGTATGGATATAGCTCCCAATCTTTATTTCAAAAGATCAGAAGGAAAGCTGAGTCAAAAGAGAAAGAGGGGATAGAACCAGTGATATGTTTCTGCGTCTACCTATTTGTTGGAATGAGATGAAAAAAAAAAAACATTAAAAATAAATCACAAGGGACGGCAGGTTGGAAATTCTGACTGAAAATGTCAGGGAGGTAAAGACTGGCTTCTGAACTTTTGGTGCTTGCTGCTGATGTTACTTTTTGTGCTGTTGGTGACATTTCTTTTTCAAGTTAACTTTTTGTGTGTCTCTCTGTAAGGTTTTTGAGGGCAACAACGTCAAAAATTTTAAATTCTTCACAGTGCCTAGCAAAATCCAATCAATAAATGCTACGTATATTTATTGTACAAAAAAATAAAAACAAAGAAACAGAAAAGTAGAGCTAAGTCTGCTTTCCATGAAATGGACTTTCAATTATATTTCCAAAAACTGACCCACAGAAGAGTGAAATTCAAATTGTACTAGTTTTAGAAATGATTATTTGAAATGAGAGAAACTAATTTATATCTATTATAATCTAAGATAATACATTTTAAAGTAAAATCTTGCCTTATGAAACAGGAGTTGAAATAGATGCAAACTACATTGATGTCACCTTTTGGGTCTATTCATCACCTTTTTTTTTGGTTAATTAACTCATAAAAGAACCATCATTAGTTACACAATAGGTATTAAATCTCACTTCTAAGTAAAACATGTACCTTATGAGGAAAAGAAGAAAAAACTCATTGGTGTGAAATACTAGAAAACATGAAATATAATTATAAACATAAAAGGAAAAATTACACACTTTTCATTTTACCCCAAATTTCCTGGGAAGCAACATTGTTAGATAAAATTGAGTATACTCATTTATTACCCATCGATCACAGTCATAATAGTGAAAAAGGCATGCTAGTTTACAGCTCACACTGATTGAATAGTGGGACTCGTGGACAAAGTAAGCTCATGAATCCAACAGGATTCACTTTGGGCACCTTAGTTTCCAATTTAACTCTGACCAGTAAGACTTGAGACACATAATGCCTGACCACATTCTCATGGCTTTACAAAGAGAGAAGAGCACTTACAGTAGGAGAAGGAGGCAGTGCTTTTACAGAGCAATTTTGCTCCGAAGTTGTCAAGCTTGGTTTTTCATGAATTTCAGTATAAGTGTAGCTACCCAAAATCATATGGAGGAGACAAGGGGAAAATAATCCATCTCTGATACAATGTCACAAAGTACGTGCTTCACCAACAGGCCTAATCTGGTTGGTTTGTGTTGCCCTTTCATGTAGATGCAATGCTTACAACCTTAGAATTTACCAGAAGATTACATAAATGTCAAAAGAGTAGAAAAGAACTAATGGTGATAAAGAAGTGATGAGCCTCATCAGATTTTTTTTTTTTCCTAGAGATCAGATCAGTCTCATGAATTATACAGGGTGTATGTTTTCGCTTATAAGAATCCATCTATTATTTTCTTAAGAAATATTTATAACATAGCTATAATTTGTCAGACACTCTGCTAGTTTCTCGAGATCCAAAGATCATAAGATACTACCCCTGCCCTTAAAAAGCTCACAGTCTAGAAAGGAAAACAAGTTATTCTAAGAAATAATTAATAATTAATAATTTGGTATAATATGTACAATAATGAAAGTGTGTACTGCTAGACACAGTAGTTTATTTCTGGAAAGATCTAAAAGAGGCATCAAAAAAAGGGTGACTCTAGAATAGAGTTTTAAAGGATGAACAGGAATTTTCCAGATAGAAAAGAGTGAAGGAAAGGCAATCAAAGTTG